TAGATACCGATGTCCTCCCCTAGGTAATTAGCTCTATAACTACTTGGAATATGAAATGGACTTAAGTTTACTCAGCCTTTATTTTTTGGCCTTAGTTTTCTTTTTTTTAGTACATGTTTGTGATACCTAGTGATTACTTTCAGGGTGGAGTTTGGTATCTATCACATCTTGATCATTTTTACTTCCCTCCACTTGCCACCTGTGCTTTTTTCTCACTCTCCTTCCCTAGATCCTCTTCCCATCTCTGCAGTCTACCTTCCTATTTTTTAACATGACTAATCATTTTGCTCTTTAAATTATTTGCATTTGGTATCTCACATTAGAGAGACTATGCGATATTTAACCTTTTGTGACTGACTTATTTCACCTAGCATTATGGTCTCAAGATCTATTTTCCTACCAATAACTAAAACTTATCTTCTCTGTATATGTACTACATTTTCTTTATCCATTCATCTGTTAATGGGCATATAGCATGTTTCCATGATTTAGTTATTGTGAGTTGTACTGCAATAAACCCGGATATGCATGTATCACTCTAGGATGATTTTAGTTCTTTGGGAGAATACCCAGGAGACAGATAGCTGGGTCAAATAGAATTTCTTATTTTAGTTCTTTGAGAAATCTGATACTGATTTTCAAAGTGGTCGTACTAGTTTATATTCCCATCAACAGTGTATAAAAATTGCTTTTCCCCAGAACCTTGCCAGCATTTATTGTGTTTTGAGTCCTTGAAAATGGCCATTCTTAGTGGAGTAAGGTGAAATTTTAGTATTGGTTTGATTTGCATTTCTTGATGCCTCGGTTTTCTTAATTTAAAAGGGGAATAATAATATCCATTTTTTTAGATTATAATGATTAATTGTTATAGCTAAAGCACTAAGTGTCTAGTATAGAGTAGGATTCAGTAAATGTCTGGTATTATTCATTGTTAATGTTATTATCATAGATGGCATCGTTACTTAAATACTGTTTATATTTCAGTATTGGGGATCAAATATTTTTATTTTGTTTTAATTTAATTTAATTTAGTATTTAGTTTGGTGCTGGGAATCAACCTCAGTCCTTCAGCATGCTGAGAAATCACCATATCCTCAGCGTGATAATACTTTTTAAAAGAATTCAAATGATTTCATATAACATTGTCCCCCAAATTTTTATATAAATGCCATTCTTTAGAAGAGTTTAATAGAATGTATATGTAGAAGTTAATATTAAGTAGGTGACTTTAAGGAGCAAATACAGAGGGGCTTTAAATAATTCAAGTTGGCATTTTGTTGTAAGCAGGAGACTAGCTCAGTGGGTATTTTTTTGTCCTTGAAATTTGCTTATGAAATCCTTTGGATTTTATTTACCATATAAATACTTAAGTATAAAATTGATCTAAAATTATACACAGCACTATACATTTCATTGTTTTTGGTTGAAATATTTGCTACAGTAATAAACTTTAGTTTGAAATGTAACCTTTTATAGAATTCACACCCTTTTTTGTCTTAAATCTGTTTCTAGTCTTTCACTTTTTTTGGCTGACAGTAGTTTTGGGAAATAAGAAGCTACAGATGTGATTGAAAAATATGGTGAATGTTTAAATTAAAAAATATTTACTACAGTAAAAGACACATTGCCATTAATCGTGCTCATAGTACTCTCCTTTGCTTTTAATACATTTATCCTATCATTCTTTGAACTCATGAAGGGGTTCTGGAAATCCTTTTTCATACATGTCTCTAGTTGCCCTGTAGTGGCTGCCTCTATGTCCTATGTCAATCCAAGAAATTAACCTTTCATTTTGACTTTAGGGAAGAGCCAGAAGTTAAATGGAACTAGATCCAGTGAATAAAGTGGAGGAGGACGCATCGTAATGCTTTTATAAACCTGCCTTTCCTTTGGGTGGCACTTATCAGCAGCATTCACCATACTTTTGATCATACCTCATAAGTGTGACCTCATATGTGAAGACCATTTCTAGAACTACTTTAGAAAGTGGCCAGAATATTATGAAAAGTGTGTTTGTGGCAAGGGGTGGTATTTTGAGTAGCATTAATGGTAATGTATCTTTCACTGTAATACAATTTTTAAAATTTAAATATTCACCATGCAATCTGTATTACATAGTGTTATGGCTCGTGTTTAGGTGTCCCCCTAAACTCTCATGTAGTCATAGGTGGGGCTTTTTCAGAGGTGGTTGAATCTAGAGTATGGTGGGTGATACTGGAATTTGTTCATGGTGCAATGCTAGGCTCAAGGGCACTAGGATTAAGGGTGTGGGTGGTACTCACTTTAAGTAGTTTGGGTAAGATATGAGGAATAGAAAGAGCTGTGGTTGGAGCTCCAGTGGCACAGTTGGTTAGTGCATGGTACTTATACAGAAAGAACTGTCACCTCTTTCTACTTTACCTGTCTTCTGCTGCCATGAGCTATTTCTCCTCTGCAGTGTCTCTCTACCAAGCCAACTTGCCTTGGAGCCAGCCAATTATGGATTGAAACCTCTACAAACTAAGAGCTAAATAAAGCTTTCCTCCTTTAACTTTGGGTGTCAGGTATTATGTCTCAGCAATGAGAGCAAAGTCTCCAAGACAGAATATGGTACCAGAAAAGTACAGTGGTTGCTGTGACTATACCTGACCATGTGGCTTAAGAGCATTTGGAATTGGCCTGTGGGAAGGGGAAGAGTTAGGAAAGGTTTGGAGATGTTGCCTGGAAAAGTAGATTTGAAACAGCTTAGGCTATACCTGATGAGAATGTCTGGTCAGAGCTCAGTAGACCAGAAGGCTGATAGAAACACTGCTGGTAAATACCAGGCTCAGGAAGTTTCTGCTGGGAAGGGTACTCTATGGGCCATTGGATTCCAGATGATGTGTGTTATGCTTTGGCAGAAAGTTTGTCTGCATTTGGCTCATGTCCAAAGACTTTGCCTGAGACAGAGATTAAGGGCAGCAGACTAATCTGACAGAAGAAATTTCAAAGCAATCTAATGTTGAGATGGTGGTATGGCTACTTTTGGGGGCTTTTAGCCAGATTTGTGTTGAGAATTAAGAGCAGAGCGCCCAGCAGAATGATTTAAAATGTTGTGAGTTTGGCCAGGAAAGAAACCCTGTAAAGCTGTGGACTGCAAAGATAAAGCGAGATCTTGATTGGTGAGAAGGAACAGGAGAATAGAAAAGATGGCCCGAGAGCACCACAAGAAGCAGCAGGTTTCTACCCTTTACATCCTCAAAATTGCAAAAGTGACTGCTGTTTTGAGAAGAATGCCACAGCATCATGTTCTAGAATGGTGGCTGCATAGAGAATTTGTTCCTTGGAATTGGATTCAGAGTGCCCATCGATCCAGGCACTCAGCTTCTACAACCAAGAGAGAGGGAAGCCTGGCTACTGCTCCAGCTGGCAGCAGACCTTGGCATCATCCAGGTGGTGCTGGTTTTAGGTGCATTCAGAATGGAAGAGTTGTGGGGTCAGGAAGGCTTCCATACAGATTTCAGAAGAAGGCCTAAGAGGCCAGGCAGTGTGCCCCTGAGAGGGCAGTGTATGAAGCTGTGTGTGTGAAGCCAAAGGTGCAGTGGAGACTCCAGAGGAGAAGCCAGCAATGTGGATTATCTGAGGAAAACTGCAAGAAGGGAACAGAGCCAGCTTTGGAAAAAAGCCATGAGAGCTACAACCATCAGAAGTGCCGTAGGGGTGGAGCCACCCAAGCCCAGTTTACATCTTGCCTCAGATTGCCTTGGATGCTGCATATGGAACTATAGGACTTAATATTTGCCCTTTTGGATTTTGCACTTGCTTTGGTCCCCTTCCTTTGTATCCCCATTTGAAACTTTTGGAATGGAAATGTCTGTTTTGTGCCACTGCATGTTGGAATTGTTTAACTTTCTTTCAGTTGTACAGGGGCTCACAGATAAGAGTTTACCTTAAATCTCAGAGGAGACTTTGGACTTGGACTTTTCAGTAATGCTGAAACTGTCAGGATTGGCAACCTTTGGAGATGGACTAAAGGCCTTTTACATAGAGGGATGTGCATGAGTCTTTGTGGGGCCAAGGGCAGAATGTTAGGCTTTGTGTCTAGATGTCCCCTCAAAGCCTTGGGGACTTTTAGATGGGGCTTTTTCAGAGGTAGCTGAATCTAGAGTTTAGGATTGATTCATGGTTCAATGCTAGGATTAAGGGTGCTGGGATTAATGGTGAGTGATTGCTGGATCAGTCCACTGATTGGATTGGTACTGCCTTAATCCTGGTAGACTGGATATAATATAAGGGACAGAAAGAGGCTTGTCTCTCTTTTCCCTTGCTTGTTTTTGCTGTCTTCTGCTGCCATGAACTGTTGCCCTCTGCCATGTGCCACCCTGCCTTGTACCCATCTGATTATGAACTGAAATGTGAGCTAAATAAGCTTTTCCTCCTTTAACTTTGGGTGTCAGATGTTTTGTCTCAGCAAGGAGAAAAGGAACTAAGACATAGGGAGAATAAAAGTAGAAAAAGCTCAGACTGAAATGCAGACATTCGGCTAAGTATTGTTTAAAGAAATTAGTACTTCAAGAGTGCGTGCGTATGTGTGTTTAGAGCAACAGAAGGTATAGAGCAGTGATGGTGAACCTTTTAGAGATTAAGTGCCATGTGAATGCTGGGATGAGTTTTGACTTGGGAAGTTATCACCTGGCACTGCTACTCCTTTCCCAGCGTGGGCATAGTCCTTATGTGCACTGTCCAACGCTGGGCTGACGGGGTGATGGTGAAGCAACTTGGCTCATGGGCCAACAGAGAGGGTTCTGTATGCCCACTGCAGCCTGCATGCCAGAGGTTTGCCACCACTGGTGTAGAGTATAGAGTATGCTTATTACTCTGCATTGTGACTAAATATATATGAAGCATTGTCATAAAAACTGTGATTACTTTAAATCTCACTGAAAATGTATGCTAAATTGTAAGACAAAAATGTATTACTTTGTAGTTTTAGCTTATTAAATTAATATGTTTTGAATAATTTTATTGCTATATCTTTGCAGTTAGCTTCTGGAATTTATACTTTTGCCTGTTCTCTATGGAATCATCATACAGACACATTCCTGCAACAGGTTTCTTCTGGCAATGAAGTTGCAGTTCTTAGCTCACTAGAACGAACTCTACTGTCATTAAAAGGTACTGTTAAACTTGATATATTTATTTTTGAAAGGATGTGCCTCAGAATAGTTACCTTCTGGATGGATTTTATGTTCCTGATTGCACTAGGAAAATAAAGGATTAATTTCTCTGTGAGGGTTTTGGGCTTATTGGTTGGTTTTCTTTTGTGGGAATTGCTCTTCCTCTACTCTGACTTAGGAAAGCACAAAGAGTCAGTGGAAGTGGAGATGTTAGATTCATATTACTATGACCTGACTCTCAACATATTCCTTTCACATGCCTCTCCTTCTTGTTTGTAGTTTACTTTTCTCATTGTGGGCCCCATACATTTGCTTTGTCTCCCTTACAGTCCTCCAGTCTTGGAGGGGAGGCTTTGGTTGAGCTTGATCTTTAAGTCCTCTTTTCCCTGAGCAGCTCCATCATTGATATATGCCTCAGAGTTCTCTGAGTTTAAGGAGGTGATTGATAGGCTGCAGTCTGTAAATGTTCGCACAAGATGATTTCCATTTCACTGTCTCTGGGTTGTTATTTATCTTGTTAAATATGTTCCAGACTTTTTTCCCCCAATAAACATACATTTGTTTCATTCCTTTTTCCCTCTATTCCATTGCCTCCCCTTTTGCAGTTGCTATGACTCTTCTGTTGTAATTTTTTTTTTTTAATTCTATTTTTTTTTTCTGTTGTAATTTTGTTTTGCTTTGGTTTTTCCTCTTTGTTTTATCACATGCAACCTGTTTCTCTTACTCCTACTCACTTTTAATTTTCTTAGTGTTACTTACATGTTCATTTATTATACCCTATATATTGGAATCCCAACTGTACACTTTTGGCACTATCCTAATAGATCACTTGTATTAAACAGTGGTTGTGCATCTCCCAAACTGTTAGCACATTTTTGTTTTAGCCTGTGAACAAATGTATGAATAATTTTAAAGGACCATTGATAAACCCATTATTTGGGTGTTATACTAATGAGTAGAGATAGTGTTGTTACCATCTTCAAGAAAGAAATTTAAATGCTTTAGAAAAGTTTTCTCAGAAATAGGAGAATAAGGCTGATATAAGGCTGTATATACAAAATCATTTATGTAATGCTCTATTGAACAAATAAGGGATTTTTGAGTTCTTTTGATTGTAGGTTTTTCTTGCCTTGATGATTTCAGAGCCTACTTCTGACAAAAAAGAGTTTAACTTTTACTCTATCTAAGCTTGCTTTATGCTTTTCAGTATATCTCCATCCCAGGGTCTTAAGTACATGTTAGATTTTTAAAGGGATCCTGTTCTGGAAAATCTTACCCTTGTAAATTTCTGGAATGAAGAAATACTTAGGACTAGGGTTTTTTGTTGTTTTATTTTGTTTTGTTTTTGGTAGTAGGGGGTGAACCCAGAGCTTTTTGTACTCATACCCCTAGCCCTTTCTGTTTTGAGAGATAGTGTCTCATTAAGTTGCCTAGGTGGAACTTGAACTTTAGATCCCTCTGCCTCATTCTCAAAGGGCTGGATTTATAGGTTTCGTTTAAAATTTTTGTAACATGTAATCTTTATTTGAATTTATACCTATGTGCATTTAGTATTTATTGGACGTGGATGCATCCATGAATATATTTAACAACTCTATAGGTGCTTGGCACTGGGGCAGGTATACAAAAACTGACCACACAAATAAATGTAAAATGGTGTATGTGGCAAGGACCTTATAATGTTGTGATAACTGACAATATGATCAGAAAAAACTTCCTGAGAGTGATGTTTGAGCTGAAATCTTAAAATGACAAGTAGAAGTTGACTAGGCAATGAGGGGAGAAAGAAATGATCTTCCTGGTAATGTGGACCAAGGTCTTATTGTGAGAAAGAATATATCCAGAACAAGGAACCCAAGTTGAACCTTATTTTCTTTTATTATGAGATAGTACTTTCTGAGTTATATATAATTGGTTATTTCATACTGAAAGACAATCACTTTATAAACCTAATTTTAATACATTGTCTTTAGACTAATTCATGAATACTGTCTAAAGGGTGATTCTTTAGTAATGTAGATATTATTATTTATTTAATAAAGTTAGTTTAAATTTTGTCTTTTATGTTGTCATTATATATGTTATACAATTATTCTTTTTTTTTTTTTTCCCCCGGTACTGGGAACTGAACTCATGACTGCGCTTGCCAGGCAGGTGCTATGCCACTGAGCTAAATTCCCAGCCCCTGGGTCCTTTTTTTTTGAGACAAGGTCCCTCTATGCAATTCAGGCTGGCCTTGATCTCACTGTGTAGCCCAGGTTGGCCTGGAACTCAGGGCTATCCTCCTTCTTCAGCCTCTAAGTGCTGAGATCACAAGCATGTGCCACCACACCCAGCTTGAATCCTTTAATAACTCTGTGAAGTAGGATTTACTAACCATATTTTACAGATGAGGAAGTGAAATCTGGAAAAGTTCCTCAAAGTAATACAGCTGTAGACAGTGGAACAAAGATTTATGTATTTATTTTTGTGTGTGGTGCTAGGCATCAAACCAAGGGCCTTTATGCACATTGGGTAAGCACTCTGTTGCCTCAGCCCTGGAGCAACGGTTGAGCCTAGCTTTGACTTCAAATCTGACTTCAAATCTGTTATCCTACTTATGTATGTACACAAGTTTGTCAGAATTATCCTTAAGATGGGATGCTTACAATTGAGCGTTATAGTCTATTCCAAGTTTGGCAGTAGAATTTAATTTTTATATTCTCTTTAGGGGATATTGTATGTATTTCCATTAATGTCACCTAAAACTGAATGAAGTTTTTTAGTCATATTTCAAAATTTGTAGAATATATAACTTTTTAATTTAAGTATTGTAGGTAGAAAGTACTAACAATTATGTAAATTAAACTGAATTTTGCCACATAATATAATAAATGTTAACAGTACTGCTTTTGTGGTTCAGAAGAGCTAGGCTCTTGTTCCATCTTTCCCACAACCTAGCAATCAAATGCCCAAGGTTACCTTTATTTATCTATTTAAGTGAGAGTATTAAGATAGATTAACCTTCAGCTTGTTTACATTTTGTTATTCAGAGTCCTTATTAAAATTGCAATTTTTGTAGCTTAAAATTTGAAGAAATAAGATTCAAGTAAAGCTTGCCTTTACTTTTCAGTGCTGCGTAAGCTAACTGTTAATGGATTTGTGGAACCTCACAAGAATATGGAGGTGATGGTAAGTAATAGAAATAATTTATTCTTTGTGACTTTGGGACAGTGTTTACTATTTTCTTTTTTGGTACTGGGAATCGAACTCAGGACCTTGTGCTTGCTACACCACTGAGCTATATCCCTGGCCTTAGTATTTTCTTGAATGTCTACTTTTTTTTTTTTTTTTTTTTTTTTGGTCTTTTTGAGACAGGGTCCCACTATGCAGTTCAGGCTGGGCTTGAGCTCACTTTGTAGCCCAAGCTAATCTTGAACTCTCAACGATCGTCCTGCCTCAGCCTCCTGAGTGCTGGGATAAGTGAATGTTTACTTCTTAAATCTGGCATTAATTTAAAATATTTTTTACTAAGTAACCTTTTTAAGGAAGCTTTTTACCATCCTGTTTATGTTATAGTGAACTTTAGAATTCTGGTTTGTTTTCACTGTATCAAAGTGGATATTGTATAAAGGAGAGAAAATAGGCCCAGTATATTTTTCAAGCTACCCTAATAAACCGACAATGTTAATTTAAATTAAAGCAACTTCTATTAGTTTGTAATAGTTATTTATATCCTTGGTATTTTCATTTACTTATTTTTAAGTATTAAAAATGAATGTTTCTCCTGATCAACATTAATACATATACTTCATGCAGTTTGAAAAATAAACGTAAGGGCTGGAAAAAAACTGTAATGGCTGCAGATACAGTTCAGTGGTAGTGCTGATCTCCAGCACTGCAGTAAATTAAAAAAAAAATATATATATATATGTGTATGTGTGTGTGTATATATATATATGTGCATATATATATATGCATATTTATATATATACACATATATATGGGAAAAAACCTATTTTTAAGCCCAGAAGAAATTGTGATGTTTAATTGTTGTTGATATATAACCGTATACATTCTTCAATGCAAATTACATAGCTGCATTTTTTTTCCTGCTGAAATGAAATGGGACTTATAAGAAGATGCATATGGTTTTTGCAATGAGCTTTGCTCAGCTAAAGTGTTGCTTTCTGTGGGTTTCCTTAGGGGCTACCTAGCAATGGAGGTAAAAATGCATCTAGTCTGGTTTTGGGGCTTTTTCAAAGGGAAAGTATCTTGCTATGTTGTTCAGGGTGGGCTAGAAATTGTGATCCTCCTGCCTCAACTTTCGTGAGAGCTGGGATTATTAGGTATGTATCAATACTGGTTCACCTCTAAAATTTTTTTAAAAATATATTTTATATATTGGTAAGGTATATATATATATTTTGTACATTTGTAAATTTTTAATATTTTTTTTCTTTTTTGTCTTTTTGAGACATTCTGTAATGAGCTTGGTCTCACTAGGCAGTTCAGGCTGGTCTTGAGCTCACTTTGTAGCTCTGGCTGGCCTTGAACTGTCTCAGCCTCCCAAGTGCTGGGATTACAGGCATGTGCCACCATGTCTGGCCTTTTTTTTTTTTTGTCCTTTTGAGTGGTAAGATATTGACTGAGCAGTGGTTTTACTGTTAAAAGTTTAAAACTCAGTATGTATCATAGTGTGATTTGCATTTTGTTTTTAAAAGGTTCATGTGTTTATTTTTTAAAAAGGAAGAAAAAAGAAACATAAATCTTTTACACTTGCACTATCCAGAGACACTGCTAAATTTATTTATTTAGGTATTCTTTAAAACATCTTTTGTATATTCCTCTAGATACTTTCTTACTCTATATTAATGGGGCCATATTCATATGCTGCTTTACTCACTTAAAAAATTTTTTTAAGAAACTAAATATATTATTGGGCTGGGGATTTAGCTCAGTGGTACAGTGCCTGCCTGGCAAGTGTGAGGTCATGAGTTTGTTTCTCGGTACTGGAAAAAAAAAAAAAGAAATATATTATGGATAGTTCACCCATGTCATTTATACTGTTATTTTTCATATTTTTTTAATATCTGTAAGATTACTGTCAGTGTAGAATGTTTCTAAAGTAATGTTTCTAAAAACATAAGATTGTAATACTTTACTAGCCTAATCATCTATAAATGGATTTTTCAGGTTGTTTTCAGTTTTTGACTGTAGATGAAAGATACTAGAATAGACACTTGGGAGCTTGTTTCATGTATTTTTAAAATTATAACTGGATACTTAGGTAAAAAGAAATGTTGGATTGAAGTGTATGTATATGTATAATATTAATGCATAATATCCAAATTTCCAGAAGATACATCAACTTCAGTTTTAAACACTGATACATTTTTGTTTCCATATTGCCAAAAAATGCTTTTCTAGGAATCAGTTTGACAGTGGCTTAGTAGTAATGTAAATTCTGTAAAGATAGGGATGTTTTTACTTTCTGTTCATTCCTGAGCTTGGAACGATCTTTTCAGTATAAATGCTCAGTAATTGCTTGTTGAATGAGTGCATGTATGGTGAGTAAAAGCAGTATGTCGGAAGTCTCAGGAATTGTATGTGATATTATTGAACATCATAAACTAATATTATTTGAAGCAGTGATTTTGTTTTTCTTTTTTTTTCTTCAGAGAAAACCAATTGATTTATATTTCTGTAAAGTGGAATAGTGGTTTTCAGTGCATACTGTCAATCAGAATTTTAGTTTATTTATTTATTGTTTGAGACAGGGTCCCACTGCGTAGTTCAGGCTGACTGTGAACTCTGTGTAGCCCAGGTTGTTCTTGAACTCATAGCAGTCCCTATGCTCATAGGAGGCCTCACCCTGGGTGCTGGGGTTACAGACATATGCTCAGTCAGAATTTTGTGAACTTTTGGCTTTCTCTTGAGTCTTCTGTTTCAAATTGTATGTCAACCTTTTCTCAGCTATGTGTAATGCCTTACTGTAACATTTAAGATATATTGACTGTTTGGAATGAGGCTGAGTTTAACAAATGAAGAATAGTTTTTCAAATATAAAAAATTTTAAAATAACATAGAACTTATGCTAAAGAGAACATATAGTGGTAAGAGTCTGGGCTCAGGAGGCAGGCTCATTTGAAATTGAGTCTTCAATTGGCCTTTCTCGAATAGTGTGGTTTTGGGTTATTTACTTATTCTCCTTGATACTCAGTTTCCTTTTTGGTACTTTGGAGATGAGATAATCATAACCTACCTCACTGGATGTTGTGATGATTAAGGGAGATAATGATTTCTGTAATGAGCTTGGCAAATAATTAAAGTGCTCTGTGAATTACAATTCAATGGTTAATTTGAGTTTTTGTTTTATTGTATAACATTAGTTAAATTACTTAGGGTTAGTTAGCTGTCTTCAGATGATGATATTCTACTTCAGTTTCTCAAACTGAAGAATTGGTGAATTACCTGTATTTCTCAGGACAGAGAGGAAATAAGGCGTTCTAGAGTTAATCATTCCTCGGGAAAATCTTCATCATCCAGGACTTTGTGATAAAACATTCCTGATCCTATTTGCAAACATGGCTTGTGACATTTTATGATGTTTATATGCCTAAACTTATGGATACCGTGATGTCTGCTTTATTTAAATTATTATTAGTTTTTGTCACTATCATTTTATATTCACTTCTGTAAATTATTCTTAACAGGTCTTTAAAAATACATAATAAAAAATAATGGTTCATTAGACCAATTGATACTTGGTAATGCTTGTCTTTTCTGTTGGGACTGATCTCGTTAACCGCTTAACAGTTTACCCTGAGTGCTTTTGTGTACATACTGGCTGTCCCAGGCTTTGCTCAAGCAGGTATTATTTCAACCAGTTGATTCGTGTTTGCAGGAGATACAGTCATATGTCTATTTATTTGTTTTATTTGTTTATTGTTGACTATTTTTGTATACTTTTTTACTGAGTATTGTGTTTGCCTTTGATGTTTGTTTCTTTTCAAATCTAATAATGCTCTGATTATTTTCTTTCACTAATTTGTGTTTATATGTGAAAAATAACCTATAACTTTGTGCTATAGTCTATAAAAACTCTTATCATAAGAACATTAGATATAATTTTTATACTTCTCCAGAACTAGGTGATATTCTTTTACAAAACAAAACAGACACATTTGGGACACTTAGAAGGAATAGGAAATGCCAAAAGATCTGCAAAAGAAAAACTGGAAAAGGGATATGTTAAAAAGGAAAAACTAAAAGAAATGTTAGCATACCAGAGAGGAAAAGTCTCTGTTATGAAATGGAATGACAAAAAAGACACCCCCTTATTGTCACCTTTTCATAATACAGGAATGATAGAACTTGAAAGAAGAAATGAAACAAAAAATTATAGTAGTGGTCAGTGATTATAGTAATTCTGTAAGTGGTGATTGACAGAGCTGACCAATATCTAACAAGCTATCTTATAATCAAAAAACCAGTGAAAAATATTATTATAAAATATTTATGCACCTTCTGGACCAAACAGTATGACTCATTTGTTATTTATTCAAAACAAGTGGTTAAATTAATTAATAATTTAGATTAGATCTAATAGACCAAATAATTGAAAAATGTGGGATAACAAAACACCAAGCAGGATGTCTATCTCTGACATCTTCACCATTATGTTTAGTGGCAATTTTATTGAAATTATATCACCCACAGAAAAAAAGGAAAGATTTAACATGACAGTGCAAAATGTGTTGTTCAAAGAAAGACAAATGGAAAAAGAATTCAGAAAAAGAGTAGCTAATACTGTCCAGAGTGTCACGTTGCATTGTATGTTGAATGTTTTAAGATGTACCATACACAAAAAAATTATTGAATAAATTTGGTAACATTCTTTTTTATGTGTTCTGGTTTTTTGTTTTCTTCCAGTACCAGGAATTGAACTCATGACCTTGTGCTTGCCAGGCACGTGCTGTGCTGCTGAGCTAAATCCCCAGCCCCTATGTGTTTTGTTGTATTATGAAGATTAACAAAAATATGCATTTGGTCATCTTATATTTTAATAATTGGACTAGTATTGTGATTGGTTAATAGTTGAAGTTTAAGAACCTTTGATTTGCATAATTGGTACCACTCATTTATTCAGTACTTACTGCAAAATGCTATTTGTGGAATTTTTTTTTTTTTTTTAAATTGATTTTGTGTGTATTTC